CTGAGGCTTTAATTTTGGGATATTGTTTTCTGATCCCCAACACACCCAGTTCCATTTAATGACGTCACAGTCTCCTTTGTGAAAAGGAAAAAAGAAAAGAGATGTCATGACTTGGCAAATATGTATCATGGCTTCTTCCCATGAGTCTCAGGAGCAGAGAGGCATGTCCCCCTGCAAAAACGCCAGGTTCGGGACAAGCAGTCCTCAGCAAGCGGAACCACGATATTGTCACAGGCCTGCATTTCCACCTGCCACACTGGCCCACTGTAACACTGTGTGGGCCATTTGCTGTCTCACGGCTGGTTCTGGTTCTCTCTTTTTTCCTCGATTTTTTTTCTTTTATTGTTGCCTAATACTCTACATATGCGGGACATGTGAGCATGTATTACATGCATAGACTGTGTAATGATCAGATCAGGGTGTTTGGAGTATCCATCACCTTGAGTGTTTATCAGTTAATGTCTTGGGAACATTTCAAGTCCAGGGCAAAGTAATTATCAAAGGAAGGCAGGAAATGCAGCTGGTTTCAGCCGTTAGTAAAGTATACGTCGGAGAAAAAGAAATGGGAAGGTTGTATTGGTCCTATTCTTTATTTCCTCTATGCTTACTGAAGTAATTTAGGAACTCTGACCATTTAGGTTTTACCAGTGTCCTGACACTTTTTGCAAGAAGTGAGGGAATGTTGCCAGAAAAAGGTTTATATTAGCACTTGATGCTTACCTAAGGTTTGTGTTTTACTGAATGCATAATAAATTATTATTTCAGAGATTAGAACTACAGAGAGAAGTTTTAAAAAATGATTTTGGCAAATGCATTTTTTATTCGTAGGTATTTATTTAACAACTCCAACTAGCTAATTCTGCTAATGCATTGCACTTTTCTGTGGGAAGCTTGTAACTACTATAGTAGTGTCAATTTTATCTCAAGAGTCTCTTTCTTTCCTGAGTCTTCATGCTGGAAATAAATGTTGTGGTTGTACGATACAGGCTATTTCCATAAAGAGTACTCAATAAACAGTGCTTCTGCTGGACTTGATTTCAATCAACTAGAAAATAAATAAGATACAACCATATGGAGCCAGTCATTAAGCACTGACAACACATAAATAAGCAAATCATTCACTTGACAATTCAGAGTATTATAATACTTAGACAATATAAGAGTAAGCCAACTTAGGAGATTCCTCATATATTCTCTGTGTGAATGTTAAGCTTTCAAGACGGGAAAATCAACTAGATCATGGCTAATCATGCCTCAAGGTAGGTACTCATTAGTCTGTGTTCACTTCAGCTAGAGTGGATATTGATCAAAGAAGATTCTTGGTGTTTCCATGTGATCACATTATCCCTCCTGCTGATACCAATCAGGCTTTCTAAAACATGCAATATTTGCACTTTGCAACACATCACCTTCAGATTTTGATCACTGAACTACATTTTCTTTCTCTCTGTCAATCTGCTCAGATTTAATTTTTCTTACTTTTTAAAAGCTACTAATGGATGAATATTGATCTACTGAAGTTGAATGACCATCACGAAGACTTTTGGCTTATTCTTGAAGAAGACATGAGTGAAATATTTCTGGAATCAAATGAAAGCTTCTGGCATTGGCAGGGGCAACCAGAATTCTAATTACTTGTTTCTGACAGAGGTATCTTTGAAATACGACATAAATGACCATTTGGAAGCCGTTATTAATTGGCGGGTCATCAAACAAAAATCATTCTCATTAATTTGGGTTTTGTTAAATTCATCTCCTCCCAATAGTTAGACGTCTCTAAACAGGTAATAGAACTAGCAGAGCAAAAAAGGTCACTGTTTCTCCTTACTCCATATGCACAACCAATAATCTCTCAGGAGCTTCTCAGTTGTCGTCAGTAGTTGAGAATTTCAAAGTATAATATGAAATAAAAGGAATACTAGTATTTTAAGCACCAACTAATGTAACAGACACTGTGCAAACGTTAGCATGAAGACTCAAGAACCCTCATCCTAGTGATCTTCTGGAAAGGCCATATTATGTATTTATTTATAAGAACTTAATTTTGTTTACCAAAGTACATGGGAAAGGAATGAATCCTACTTAGACACAGGCAGAAGAGGAGCCATCTTTTTATTTGCTTTAAAAGCTAAAAAGAGAAGAAAAAAAATGTGATTTATATGCCTCATGAAACATTACTATGTACCATGAAATGGGCATTTTCTCTGATTTTTGATGAAGTTTACTTTTTGAAGAATGTATATGCATCTTTCAGTTACACCAAAAAAAAAAAAATTGGGTTAGAGTTCCTAAACAGTCTTAACTTCAACAGAGTTTTTAAACAGTTCCAGTCTGATACCCCTAAGATATTTTCAGCCAGTGACCCAGAGCTACTCCTAGTCCCAAAAGGGTTTGCTTCGACCCTTTCCTCAGTCATTCTGCAACAGAATTTCATCATGAATAATTAGAAGTGGATAAAGAGATATGAGTAGAGAAAAGGAGATATACTTGTAGGTTATAAGTAAATGTTTGACAGCCTCTGCAAATTCTCAGAGGAGTAAGTATCTTCCTTTTCTGAATACTTTTACTAAAAGGCAACTCACTATCATCTGGCCACCACACTCCCTGCTCTAATTTTAGAGGAGGTCATCGTTGGGTCTAATTATTTCAATATAAATTTAACTTTCTTTAAGTGAAGAATGGAGAAAAATTGCTAGAAGCTTCCTTCCAGGATTTTAGTACATTTAGATCTATAGGGATTAGATTATTACATGCAGCATATAACTTGTAACTAAAGTTGCCATATTAAAGTCAGAAAAAATTGTATCTAATATGTATTGAGCATTTTCAATGTGAGAATCACTGTCTAGCAATATTCCTATGTCATTTTAATCCTCAAAGCAATGCAGTAATATAAGCACTATTATCCCTATTTTATAAACAAGGAAACTTAAGCACGGAATAGATAGCAAAGGAATTCAAGGTCACACAGATTTCTCATAGCAAAACTGAGGTTTAAACCAAGACAGAATGTTCCAGAGCACATATTATTAACCACTATGACATTACTTCCCTAAATTGGATACTGTGATACTTTTAAAATAACTTATGGACAGGCACAGTGGCTCACACCTGTAATCCCAGCACTCTGGGAGACCAAAGTAGGATTTCTTGAGCCCAGGAGTTCAAGACCAGCCTGGGCAACATAGCAAGACCCGGTTTCCACCAAAAAAGTTTTAACAAATTAACTGGGTAAGAGGGTACATTCCTGTAATCCCAGCACTTTGGGAGGCCAAAGCTGGAGGATCTCTTGAGCCTAGGAGTTAAAGACCAGCCTGAGCAACATAGCCAGACCCTGTTTTTACAAAAAATAAGAAAAAAATTAAGTGGATATGGTGGCACATGCCTGTAGTCCCAGCTACTTGGGAAACTAAGGTGGGAAGATCGCTTGAGCTCAGGTGGTCCAGGATGCATTGAGCTGTGATTGCACCATTGCTTGGGCAACAGAGGGAAACACTGTCTCAAAAATAAAAGTAAGAATAGTTTACAGCCTCATAATTACTTATAGATGTGATATTATCCCAAAAATGCATTCTTATCACTACAGGCATTTCAAGAGTGGAATAAAATTCTGACAGCTTTGTTTTTCCACTTGCACTGACCAAACCCAGGCGAGCACATTAGCATAAGGCTTAAAAGGAGATTTTAATCATATGTACATATTTTGTTCTGGTTAGATGTTAAAATACGTTTGCTTATATGTATCTGATTTTAAATGATTAGAGTTCTTGTCAAAGTCTCCATCTATCTTCTTCCTCAGGGACATTGATGGATTTTTCAGTGATTTATAAACTACATTGTGCAATATAAATGCTAATTAACCTTCCTTAGATATGATATGGTATATTTAATATGTTGCAATCCTTATTTTTAAAGTGATTTAAGTTCCTTTATTCTTTCAGCTTTATGGAGATATAATTGACTAATAAAAATCATATATATTTAAGATAAACAGGGTGATGATTTGTTATATTTATACATGCTGAAATGTTCTGCACAATCAAGCTAATTAACACATTCATCATCTCACATTGTGTGTGTGTGTGTGTGTGTGTGTGTGTGTGTATCTGTGTGTGGTGAGAACACCAAAAAATCTATTATTTAACTTCAAGCACAATGCAGTATTATTAACTATGATCACCAGGAAATATACAAATGATTTTACTTCTGTTTTACTCTTTTTTTTTATTACATTTTAAGTTCTGGGGTGCGTAGGCAGAACATGCAGGTTTGTTACATAGGTATACACATGCTGAGGAAGTTTATTCTAAACTTTTAAAGCAATCACATGGTTATTCTCCACTAACTTTATTTAGATTGTGAAACATTTCTAATTAGCCATTTCTAAACACTTCAGCTTTAGTATGGAAGAAATGGTATCATCTTACCTTCTTGATTTCATGAGTGAAAATCTTTGAAAATATGTAAATCTATTCAAAAAATCTGTAGTGTAGTCTGAGTGACAATGAGTTGGAGCCTTAATAGGTAAGTGAGATATCTGAGACCTGATCAACACTTTCAACTTCATTGATAGAAAGACTTCTGGTTGGACACAGGGAGGGGAGTACTAAACACTGGGGTCTATTGGGGGGAAAAGGGGAGGACCAGCGGGGGGAGGAGCTGGGGAGAGATAGCCTGGGGAGAAATGTCAAATGTGGGTGAAGGGAAGAAAGGAAGCAAAACACACTGCCATGTGTGTACCTATGCAACTGTCTTGCATGTTCTGCACATGTACCCCAAAACCTAAAATGCAATAAAAAATTTAAAAAAAAAGAAAGACTTCTGGTTACTTGGCATATGATTTTTGCGTATTTTATAATCAGTCTTCTCACAGGATGAGGCTTAATTTTAAAACCACGTCAGCCCACATATATGTAATTCTATATCCATTTTTAAAATACTGTTGTTTTGTACGTGGGGAAATGTTAAAAGTTAATTTTTTTCCATTTTTGTTTTTCTAGATGTTCGAAGAAGAACAATTTATGAATACCACCGAGTAGAGCTACAAATGTCAAAAATTACCAACATTTCAGCTGTGGAGATGACCCCACTACCTAGTAAGTGAATATGGAAACCTATGTGGAAAACATGATTTGAAAATTGGACGATCTGATCTGTTTAATAGTTATAATAATCATATTAAATAATTAGCATTACAGTTGTGTTTGGCATGCATGGGCATTTCGATCCTGAGTGTTGGGGGACAGTGATGTTTATGTTGGCTGAGCAATCTCTTTTCCCCCAAGTTGCCTGTTGGTCTTGATGAATTTGTACTTTCCTATTTCCTAGCGTGTCTCCAGTTTAACAGATGCGGCCCCTGTGTGTCTTCTCAGATTGGCTTCAACTGCAGTTGGTGTAGTAAACTTCAAAGGTAAAAATATAATAATAATAATAAAACTTACAAATTCTTCCTGCTTCTACTCTCCCATTGAATTTGAAGTGGATATCAACTGCATGGCATATGTATGCATTAGCAATATTGTGTGTATGAAAATTACCAAGAGCCTTTATAGTCAATAAAGTCATTGTCTGGCCTATATTTATAATTTTCCATGGGACTTAAAATACATGATTATAGAGCAGTTGGTGAGTCTATAAACCAAAGATTTTGATTCATATTCTACAGAAAGCATGGTGTGAGATATCTTTTCATAGCAAGGGTGGTTTATAATAATCACATGAACATTCTTAATAATTTCCTATGCCACATCTCAAAGGTTATTTGTCAAGATTGGAGATATAATCTAATACAAAAATAGAACACATGGTTTTGACCTCATGTTGTAACTCGCTAACCCTGATACTTAAGCTGCATAATTTACTGGGATCAAAGGGGTTTACTGATTTTTAGAAGTGGCAAAGATGATTTTTCAGTTCCTAGAGTTTTTCAGAGAGTAATCATTTGTTGGAAATACAGGATGAAGACTTGTAAATTTGTTATGTTATTTTCTCAACCATTTTGTGCATCGGTTATGGTCTGGGTACTGGGAACACAGCAGTAAACAACATTGACATGGTCCCTGCCCCACATAAGTTTACCGTCTGCCTAGGAGTAAGTCCTCTTCTCACCTTCAGAGTCTATGACAAATGTTTCTTCCCTCAGGAGGAAAACCAAATAATCATCCTGTTAGTTTGTGTATGTTACACCTGAGTTTTCAGTTGTATAAGCAGTGTGTCTTATTATCTTCTTGCTGTAGCATTTGCTATAATGATAAAGACATGCTCTAGGAATACTAGAGCATGTCTTCTTTGCTAGGCTCTAAGTTTATTAAAGGCAGAGACCATATCCAATTTGTTCTTATATCTCCAGAGCCTAACTTATTGAAGAATTCGAAAATAAAATGCCAATATTTCGATCACAAGCTTTGGGAAGCATTTTTAATTTACTAACCTTGGAGCAACTACTGCAGTATCATGGCTAGAACAATATTTATGATAACACCTGTATTGTTTTCAATTTAATAGGGCGTTCTAGTAATTTCCTTTGTGACGTGAATTCCAAATAATAAAAAAGCAAGCAGGCAGTTTGCATTTTTAAAAGGAGATTTTTTAAGTTAGTTATATATCCAAAGTAGGAGAAACTGCTATAAAAGCAAGGGTTTGTGGTTATTTATACTGATATTTTACTAAGTTTTTCATAAAGATTATGTGCATATCAGAAGTTATTCAAAATCTGTTTAGATAATGACATAAGGGAATCTAAAGAGATGGCATTTTAATATGTATGTTTAAGGAATTCTGAGCTCAGAAATGGAAAACGTCCACAGGAACTAAACAGGAGGCACTGGTTTGGGCCGCATACCTACTTGAAGATGCATTTCAGTGAGATCCATTTCAGTGATCACCTCGTCCAAGTCTGCGTGAGGTGCCTCCGGGCTGTGTTTCTCTGCATCCTGGGCAAACTGACGTCATTCACATTGCCAGCAGGCCTTGCTGATTCTTGTTCATTTGTCTGTCTTCTTTGCTAGGCTCTAAGTTTATTAAAGGCAGAGACCATATCCAATTTGTCCTTATATCTCCAGAGCCTAAGAACATACCTGGGACTGCAGGAAAAAAAAAAATAAAAGGATGAACAAATGAATATGGGTTAGGTTCCAAATGAAGGAATCATACTTAAATTTGTCTGGCACAAAGGGTTTCCCAAGATGGGACTTTCAGTGCTTAAACTAGGAAAGTCCAGAAAAAAAACAAGGACCATTTGGCCACCCTAACCAGAAGACAATTAGGATAATTTTTGACTTAAATTGTGTTATGGTAAATGACGGCTTTGAAGATTCTTCTAAAAATTTGCTTACCACTGACCATTTCACTTTTTAATATAAATTTTTGATGAAATGTATGTTTAAAGTTCCAAACAAGCAATTTTGACAAACAAAACATACCTGCAAGCTGGAATCTCCTACTGTTAATACTTTCAATTTATTGAGAGGTGTCTCTGCCAGACATTAAGCCAAGGAATTTTCAAATACCACACTTAACATTTCACAGTGAAGGAAACTGACACTTTTAGGAGCTAAGCTACTTGTGCTGGGTCTCATAGCTCTTAAGTGGTGGGTTTGGAATCAAACCTCCATCTCTGTGACGCCCCCGGCTTTTGATCTTGTTTTTTCGACACCTTTTTTTTTTTGACATCTCTTTTTTTTTTTCAACACCTTTTCTATGTAACACTTGCCAGGCTGCAGGTACATTAGGCAAGATAATTTTCGTTGCTTTCTGAAAAATTGTAGACATATTTCTGAAAAATAAATCTTTCCTAGTTGATACCACAAGAAAGCATCATGGTTTTGAAACTGGCATTAGAAGAATGAGAGGAAAATTGAATAAATTCTAAGACTTTTGCATATTTTTGAAAGCATAGTTTCTTTAAGATTACTGGGGAAGAGGGTTGGTGAGGCATATAAATGAGAAAGAAATTCATCTAAAAACACTCCTAAAAAAACTACAAGTTTTCTGAATGTTACCATTTGGTGTTTTATTGAATTCCAAACATTTATTTAAAATCTTGGATTGATTTTTACTTCTTCAGCAACCCAGTTATATACATATCAAAACCTATTTAATTAATCGGATTAACTATGCCTCATTGCACTTTTGTTTAACTTAATTTCCCCACTGCATTTTATTAATTTCTCCTTAGACCTATAAGCTTCAAAACTCTTTGCTTTGCAGCCCAGAAGCATTTCCCCAGACTTTAGAGCTTTTATGAACAAATTCAACAAAATAAGAGAAGTCTTATCCTAAGCAGCACAAAAATTGCCCCTCCGATTCTTTTTCTCCCATTGTTCTTACTTTCTTCTTTGCGCTTAACTTATCCCTGAATGATAATCAGTTGGTGGTAATTACTGACCTCTCAAGGCTTGCTCTAAAAAGATAAGATAATTTTAATTGGTTTATTTCATTTAATTCCCATTTTTCAAGGAGCAAAAACTAAGGCAAAATATTTCCAACGGTTTTCCCGAGCTGTAAGAGAATTTGAGTTACAGGAATGTAAATTGATCCATAATTGCAACTGCTTACTTAAATTACTTGGTCCATTTCTTTGAACTAAGAGTGCTTTTGTTTCCTCATTGCAAACTAAGAATAACTAATCAATCACTTTCAACTGTACCTTATAGCTTCACTCATTCAACACAAATGTATGAGTGTCGCTGATCAAGTCACTCACCAAGATTGTGCATTCAGTAGTGAAAAACAGACAAAATCACTTCCTTAGGGGAGATTTCATTTTAGTATACGGAGTCAGCGTTTAAGCAAATGGATATATAGAAAATAAAGTTAAGAGTGATGAGTGTTACAGTAAGGTAAATAAACAGGGCAATATAAGGGATAATAAAACAAAATTGGTAAGAACAGATGTTTACTTCTTGGTATCGTTTTTAAGTAAACCTGCTCTTGTAAAAAGAATATGCTTTGATTAGCTTGTTTAGCTTTTTTGGGGGGGGTCAGAGTCTTGCTCTGTCACCTAGGCTGGAGTGCAATGGTGCAATCTTGGCTCACTGCAACCTCTGCTTCCCAGGTTCAAGCGATTCTCCTGCTTCAGCCTCCCAAGTAGCTGGGAATACAGGTGTTTGCCACCATGCCTGGCTAATTTTTTGTATTTTTACCAAAGACAGGGTTTCACCGTGTTAGCCAGAATGGTCTTGATCTCCTGACCTCATGATCTGCCCACCTCAGCCTCCCAAAGTGCTAAGATTATAGGCATGAGCCACCACAGCCGGCTGCTTTGATTAGTTTTAAAATGAAAATGTATTTTTGCACATAAAGTATTCATTCACTCATTTATTTACTTAACAATGTCTTGAATGCCTACCACATGCAGACATTGATCTAAACACTAAGATAGTTAGAGCAATAATCAAGTATTAATCAAAGCCGTGACTCTCATGGAGCTTGGAGTTTAGCTTAGTAGGCCAGAAAATTGATGAATTAATAATTAGGCAAAAGAAGTCGAATAGTGATGGGTTGTCTGCTGGATTTGAAAGACCCAGTAGTTGTTCTTGACTAGGTGGCCAGGAAAGGCTCTTTGGAAGGGGTAATAATTAAAAATCTGAATGATAGATAGGCAGCTACAGCGAGATGAAAGCAAAGAGCATTGAAATGCCATTTGAATGGCCCGTGCAGTGGCCCTCTGATGGGTCCCTGCTTGACCAGAAGAGGAAAAGAAATGATGCATTGGGGGAATTCCAAACTGGTTTTGGAGTGAGAGTGACATCAGATAAGCTCAGAAGGATACCCAAGTGCTGGGACACAGATGGTTCTGTAAGCTAGGGTTCTCCCTAGCTTTATTCTCAGAATATTGGAAAGCACTTAGATTTTATAACTTATGCAAAGAAGGGATGTGATTTTACCGTATTTTAAAAATAGAACTTTGGGGCCAGGTGCTGTGGCTCACACCTGTAATCCCAGCACTTTGGGAGGCCAAGGCAGGAGGATCATGAGGTCAAGAGATGGAGACCATCCTGGCTAACATGATGAAATGCCATCACTACTAAAAATATAAAAATCAGCTGGGCTTGGTGGCGCATGCCTGAATTCCAGCAACAGGCTGAGGCAGAAGAATTGCTTGAACCCGGGAGACGGAGGTTGCCAGTGAGCTGAGATTGTGCCACTGCACTCCCACCTGGCGAGAGAGCAAGACTCCGTCCAAAAAAAAAAAAAAAAAAAAAAAAAAACAGAAACATTAGCTGCTTCATGGAGAGCAGAGTTTTTGTTTGTTTGTTTGTTTGGGAAGTGGTCCAGAATGAAAAGGAAGAGGCTAGTAGTGAGCACGTGCAATAGTCCACAGGAGGTATGATGGTAACTTGAACAAGGATGATGATTCTGAGGATCAGGAGAGATGAATCAATGCAAGGTGTTTTGGAAGGAAACAGA